GGTGACTGCTCATTGATATAACAAAAAGTTAGAAATGTTAAATAGTTTATTTGATTACTTTTCTAATAGGGATTAATTATAAATATTGATTCTTTTTTATAATGTATTTATTTCATGTATGTATTATGTGTAAGAAAAAACACTGCTGACAACATTCTCTTAATAATTTTTGTGATGTTTACTCCAGGTAGATTGGAAGAGCCATCTTCCTGCTGGTATTTTAAACATATAATATATTTTGATTAAAAAACATCATGAGAAAATGTTTTTATAACTTGCATTTTATTTTTTTGAAACATGATTTTTTTGATTCATTAAACACTGAATGAATGTAAATTGATAAATTAATCCTTGTCTTAATATTGGACAACCACATAATAAAATATTATTACCATATCTTGTTTCAAGCACTGAACCTAGAAATTTTAATTCAAGAAGAGAACAACAATTGATTTATCCAAAAGGTCATTAGTATCATTTATAATTATATAATTTAATTAGGACCTTGGATAATTATATTTAAACTGGTATTATCAAAAATGGCATTTTTTTGAGAAACTGGTATGTAAAAAACAGGGTAGAGTTATATAAAAATTATATATCAATTTAAGTATATTGAAACACATGTTACAAAGTAAGATAATTAAAAGAAAACTGAACAATATGAATATAATGAATAAATTTATTATTTCAAGTATTTAGCTTTAAGAAACAAAATGAAAAAATGATAAAAAGATAAATGAATAAATTTATAGGGATATTATTAAATTAATCATCCATTGATAATTCACCAATTTCATCAACCCTATCAATTCATTCAACATTTTTTCCTTTGCTGTTATTATTAGAATCTAATGTTTATTAATTAAATAGGGATAAAAAAATATTGTTAGTAATAATTAATGAATAGTAACTCCAATTAATTACACTTCACTCTCTCAATAATAATAATGGATCTTCTCTAGAACAAACTGAAAATTAAGCCTGTTTATCTCTATAACAGACATTTTTTCCCATGTCAAATGGTCCATTATAGAGAGAGTGAACTGTAGTAATGAACCTTTTTTTTACCTTTGTTAAAATCAACATTTAAAAGAATAGAGTTGATATCAAGTTTATTTAATGAACTGTTGTTACTTGTGAAACTTTTCAAGCTTTTTGACTTGGTAATTTCACCATCTAATATTCTACTTGTATGGTATGCATCTGGATGTAGTTCATGTACTTGTTGTGAATCACTGTTACTACTATTATTATTAAAATCAATTTTAATTTTAATAAATTTAAATAATCTTTTTATTAAACTATTACTATTATTTTTCAAACTTTTGTTTTCAAGAATTCCTTTTAGTTTATTCTCAGCAAATTGATCAAGCTCTCTAATAGTCGGTCTTTTAGATGGATCCACATCCCAACATTTTTGCATCATTTGTGCATAATCAACAGGCATTCCAGGTAATATTGGTGGTCGCAAGCCTTCACATATGTCAAAAATTAAATGATGATTATGACCCCTATCATTGAATGGTGGATGGCCTGCAAATATTTCCCACATTAACATCCCAATGCTATAAATATCTGTTTCTTTAATGATCTTTGCATTAATTTCACCCCTAAGCAGCTCAGGTGCAGTATATGATATAATTCCATAGATTTTATTAGATGATTTTTCATCAACTGGTCCACATAATCCTAAATCTGTAATATAACAATTACCTCCTTGCAATAATATATTACCACTATGTAAATCACAATGGATTAAATCTTTTTTATGTATAGCATTTAATGCAGTACATAAATATCTAAAGATTGTAATTCTATTTTTTAGTGTTAAATTAGAATGATTTTTTTGAAAATAATCCCTTAGATTTCCTTCTTGGTGATAATCAAGAATCATTGTATAATTTCCATTATCTGGGAATTTAGTTATACCATAGCAAGGAACAATCAGTGGTGATTTAATTTTAAAATAATTCATTGCCTGTAATTGAATATATAACCAATTAATAATATAATTTATTATTTGTTTTAAATATATTAATTACCTCATCAAAAAATGCTTTTCCTGGATTACTTGAATTATTTAAACATTTTAATATTACACTAAAAGTTCCATAATAACTAAATTCTTTTTTATTTTCATTATAATCAATTATTTTTCCTCTTGTCCATGTGGCAGTATAAACTGAACTAAATCCACCTTCAGTTAATTTTTCTACTTTTTCAAATTGCTCAAAAGGTATCCATTCTAAAATATAATCTGGTAGAGATGATTTCATTTGACATTGTTGGATAAAATTATCAATTATGTTATTTCCAGATGTCCAAATAGTGAAAAGACTCTGTAGTTGTAGACTAATACAACCTTCACAGAATCTATCAGAGTATCTTGTTGATTTACACTTGTTACATTCTTTTGGTTTGCCCCGTTTATTAATTGCATTATTTAATTCAAACCAATAAATAAACCATTCTTTACAAAATTGTTTTTCATTTTCAAAAAGCTCCTTATTTTTATTGACTAATGAAAAAAAATAATCTTTTTCACTTTCTCTTTCAGAATTAGCCAGAGCATTACTATACATTTCATTACGAATTTTATATACAAAGTTACTTCTTTCTAATGATAATAATTTATCAAATGACATTTCAACTTTATTTAATATCTTTTTTTTAAAAAGGTAAATTTAAATTATTATTGAATAGTGAAGAAATCGAAAAAATTTTTGTGAATTATTTTGAATGTGTACAAAAACAATTCTCCGGAGAATGAATAGTAAATCAAAATCCCAGGCCCTTTATTAATTTAAAGTTTGGACCAAAATCAAACCATAAGTAATTATTAGTGGGTGTTGTAATACATCACATTTAACAGTTAAAAGTAGTTTATTTCTATCAGGGATTAATTGATAAAGAATTCATTATAATTTTAAATATTAATTCTTTTTTATGTAATAAGTATAATGATAGTATTCGATATTCACAATTTAAATATTCGAAATCAACGGAGATTATAAAATTATTTTCGAATATTCGATCAAATACATTTAAAACAGGAAGAAAATATAGTAAATATTTCCTACTGAATTTATCATTGCTATCTATATTTCCATATTGAAGACAATTGATAGAGCTAATTGTAGCGGAGACAGAGAAATGCAGATGATTATATGCGGTTCCTGCTAGTGATATAGCAATTAATAGTTAGTAAGAATAGTACAATGGTAATAATAGTAAAAATCAAATAAAGGAAAATAGGAAATTTTAAATAATAGCTATTGTTATAGCTATTATTAGTCTAGTAAATATGAAAATAAAGAGTGTACTTTTACAATATAAACAAAACAAAAAGATGGAATCTATTTTTATTTTTATTTTTTTGGTCTCTTGGAACACATTTTTAGCATTAAACTCGAATGTTTTATAGTTGATTCAAACGATTCAATTTCCTCCATACAACAAATTGAGCCCCATTTGCTGATTTTATAAATTATTGTTGAAAACAGAACAAATATTTGTCCATTTTTTTTATTTGTTTTGTTTATTTGTTTGTTTGTATGTTTTGTTCAACAAATCTTTTAATATTATAAAAAAAGAGTTTTTTTTTTTCCAGAGATAAGGAAAAAAATTAGAATTAACCAACTGACCATGGTTTTTAATTTACGAAGAGTGAAAGAGCGAAGAGGAAAATAAATAAAACAGCTCATAGTAGAAACATTATTTGAGATTAGAAGAAATGTCCATGTTTTAAAAATCGAATATTTTGCATAATGTGAGTAACGTGAGTACCGTGAGTACTCGTAGATCATACTATTAATGGAAAGATCTTCACTCATCAGTATATACGAGCACTCAAGTGTTACAAGAAAATATTGACCTATATCTGATATATCATTTTATCTACACGCGATTAAAATGAAAATTGTTTATTTTATCTACAAAACGCGATTAAAATGAAACTTGTTTATTTTATTTACTTTGGCGAATATTGATTTTATTTCTTGATTATTATATTAAGAAAGAAAAGCTGAGAACAGAGTCTTGTTTATTATTAAATTTGTATAACGAATTTTAATTTTCATAGTTAATTATCATGTCAACTAAAAAAACACATTCCAGTTTAATAATATGAAAAAACAAAATAACTGAATAATATATAACAAATAATAAAGTATACCAACTTGTCACATTTAAACGAATTTTATATCTGAAGCAAAAATCCGTTGTAACATGATAATTCGTTGAACTGTAATAATGTTATAAATAAATATAGCTAATGTTTCAAATTTATTATTCATAATTACTAGTGTTGATATACTAAAAATTCATTCGAAATTAATTTAAAAATGATATAATTATTATTACCTTGTGTTACAACGAAATTTTAAACTTTTTTTGCTTCACATAAAAAATCAAAATTTGTAAAATTTTGGTATAATAATAACGACAATAATGAGTGTTCCCATAGTAATAGGTGTATTTGTTATTTTTTTTCAAAAAAAATTTTAAGCCGATCATACTATATTAAGTATTCGTCATACATTACTCATGAGTACAAACGCTAGCATAATTGTATGTATTATTGTATTTGATTTCTAAATATGGTGGCCAAATTTGTACACCAACATATAGATTTTTTCGTGTACATATCTGATAAGAGCAGCCTTTCCAAAAAAGGATATACGGCACTCGTATGACAAAATTTGATGCGTAATTACATCCATAAAATAGCGCTGATTGTGCCTCTTTCTAAAAAGAATACTCGCTCTAAAATGAAATTTTTCCATTACTATATATTATGCATATAGATCGTGTTACCGTTGAATTTTACACACTGGTATTCATTTAAATAAAAGGTCTAATATTTTATTGTTTACCGATTAATATAAAAAAAACATGCGTATATTTTAATTAAATATTTTCATAAAATTTAAATTGAATGACCAAGTTTGTAAATATCTCTTTTACTCTTCTTTCTCCATTCATATAATAATAATAAAATGGCATCAAAAAATTCGAGGAATAGTACTTTTCATGCAAGTTTTCTTGATGGTTTAAGAGGTTTAGCTGCACTTTCAGTAGTTTATTCACATTCACAAAATCTATTCAAACAAAAACTTCCTTATAATACATATAATATGATTGGTTTTGATGGCGTTCGATGTTTTTTTGTACTGTCAGCTTTTTTATTAACATTTCGTGTAATGTTAGAATGGGAAGCATACCTTGAAAAAAGAAATATTTCAAAGGAGAAAAAAGATGTGGAAGAGATGGCGAATATTAGCGGTAATGATAACGAAGAGAGTACTGGATCAAATACATCAAATACATCATTAAATGATGATGACAAGAATAATTATAATGAGGTAGATATTTTTTTTTTTAATATAAATAATAACGATAACGATAATAATTGCATAATCATAAAACGGTTTAAACAAATTACTTGTCACTCAATTTTTCAATCAATCAATCAATTAAAATATTTAGCAATACCATGAAACAACTATAGAACTAGGCACTAAAGCAACAAAAAGTTTATCAACAAGGGAAAGAATGTTCTCGAAATTATGCGAAGATAATAATTTGATACCAATTAAAATATGGGCCAAATTTTTCTTACGCAGGTTTATGAGAGTATATCCACCTTATGCCATTCTTTTGATTTTAGTTACATATAATCAACTTATTGGCGAATCATATTTTCAAGCTATAACTCCTGATAACCTTGTTCCTCATCTTACCTTAAGTAAAGGCGAATTCATTTTTTGGTCAATACCACCTGAAATGATGGTGAATTATCAATTAATTATTTATTATTTATAATACATATCAAAAATTTAATTTTCTAACTTAAATATATATAGTTTTACTGTGTTATTCCAATAATTGTAATAGGATATGTAGGACTTGGTGATATAGGGAAGAAACTTATGAAAACCACTAGCTATAATGAAAAAAAAGGAGAATTTATTGGCCGGTTTATTGCTTTTTCTATAATAGTACTTGCACGTACAATCATTGCATTCAATCTTTATGGTAAAAATCCTTTACTGTTAGAGGGCACAGCTCATTATTTTTTAGCTGGATCATTAGGAGCTATATTATATAGAGAAGCTATTAGATTAAATTTATTACCAAAAAGTGAAGAGGATGAAAAAAAAGAAGATGACGAGAACAATGATGATGAAAATGATAACGAAATTCGAAGAAACCCTAAAAATAAAATATATTTATTAGCGTCATTAGTATATAATTATTTTTACAAAAAGTTACCTACATTTCACACAATACTTCGTAAAGTATTTGATTTATCTTGTTATGTAATGTTTATAATAATTTTATGCACAATGCCAAGATTATCATCAAAAGTATTGGGCTATTTATATGATCTTCATTTGGAATTGAACGCAGGAGGACTACTTTATTCAACCTTAATTCTACTTGGATTATTATCGCGTAATGAATCATTTGTGAATTTATTGTCATTGAACTATTTTCGCTTTTGTGGTAAAGTTTCATTTAGTATCTATCTTTTGCATCCAATAGCTTTCAATCTGGTAAATAATTATATTAGTAATTATCTTACATTTATTGGTAATGTTGAAACACTCAAGGATGCAGATCAATCAGATGAATTTGAAAAAAATAATGATATTTTTGATTCGGTGATGTTAAGTTTTTTGGTTACAATAGTTTTATCATGGTTTTATTACCACTTGGTTGAATTACAGTCAATGAATTTGGCAAATTATATTGCAAAAAGATGGTTAAAATATTAGCAAAAGAATGCAATTATAATGGAACATAAATAAAGTGGGCAAAATAGAGGAAATAGTATTTATTAAAATTTATTTATTTTATGTATAAATACCTTTTTTAAACTAGAATGATAAATAAACAATAATTTATTAATAATTAAAGTGATTGTAAAAAAGTATTTTAAAATACTTTTTAATGATAATATGGGGCGTACTGCAAGAAAACCAGACAAAGTGAGATTTAGGTATCAATAATGTTTGCTTAACATCAAATTGTGTTACAATGTAATGTGATCATGATGTTTGTCTAGACAAAAATAGTTAATATGAAGTTAATTTACATCAGATCTACTATGGAACCCAAGAATTATAGTACTATTAGTACTATTAGAAGTATTTTGAAGAAAGAACAAGCTGAAAAAATTGCATACCAAACAAAATCTAAACCATTTTATCTGAATTATGGCAATTTGGCATGACACACTAAAGTCATAAAAGTTGTAAACTGTAAAATCATAGAGCACAAATGCAATTTCAGGGTCACTAACCCTGTTTTGAATTGCAAATTTCCTTCCTGTTCTTGAAACAAGTTGCAAATTCTCGTTATGACTGGAAGCGCCACAGAACTTTTGACCAGTTATTCCAACATATCGTTTTTGACTGATATCCTTTTCTACAAGAACATATTCAAAGGACTAGTTAATGAATAAATTAGGAGATTGGAGTGGAAAAAATAGCTCAATAAAAAAGAAAGTGATGGGTGAATAAAAGAAGTGAATGGGTAATCTGACGATATGTATAGCATAAATGTTTACCAGGAAAATCGCCTGAAATAACTTGCAATATAGGAAAAATAAGCACGAAAGGATGGATGTATTAAACAAAAAAAAAACGTTACAAGTTAGTCAAAGCAAATAGTTTACCGAACATTATTGTCTATATAGTGTAGAATACATAATAAATTTCATTCTGCATTCTTGATCTAAACATTGTACCACCGATTCATTGGGACAAAGATGTTTCTATGATTTGTTTTTTTGATCATACATTTCTTTTGGAATTTTTAGTAATATAGATATTGGTGTCGGAATTTAAAACAAGTGAGTTAAACTTGACATCGTTTTACCTCCATTAATAATATTTTATTTTTAAATCACCTCGTTATTGTCATTATTATTATTATTATTATTGTCATAAAAATTTCAATAAACTTTTGTGCCTTTTATAATTATTTGGAGTAATCTTATATATGGGACATGGATTCATCCGAAAGAACTTTATTTTCTTTGCTCGAAATAAATTGTCCATGTTTCCTGCGGATTTTTATAGAACTTAACAAAAAATTTAGAAAATTTTGATCCACTATAGCTCAATAAAAACTGCAGTGTTGAGCATATGCGTTTTAAAGATTGGAAAAAAAATTACCCCATTAACTTGTGATAGTGGAGGAAAAGCAATGCTCCGTATCCAAATTATCATTGATGCTAATTAGAAAAAAACATTAATAGGCATTTTTATAATAGTCTCATGAAATTATATTTCCAAATACCGTTAATATAAATAAATCAACAGCGAAAATTCCTGTGGAGAAACCTTTAATACGATGATTTAATAATAAAAGAAAGAACACTAAACCCTTTTTGTAGTTGACAAATTTCAAAACGCTATATTGAACTTGAAAAAAAGAAAAACATATTTAATTATACTGATGCACACGCTTTATCTAAAGGATTTTATATATATAATTTTGAACTTGGAATTAACACAAAACAAACGAGAAAATTCCTCTTAGTTTTGATCTGGAGGGAGTTGGCAACAAGTCATTAAAAAAGGAAAAAGAACCTGGCTTAATACTCACTCCTACCATTCATCATTAAAATCTTGGAAGTAGAAATAGTAAAATTATTAATAATAATATGGCAACAGAATAAAATAATAATATAATATGCAAGATTCAAAAGAAATATCCAATTTAATTACTTCAACTATTATTTTTAAAAACAACCCTCAAATATCACTCACTGAATTATGTGTGATTTGGAAGGGAATCACTAATACTATATAAAATGTTTTTCGAGGACGGTTAAAATGGTATGAATAATTTACTTTGATTGAAGAAGGGCACAAAATATCTCTTAATTATTTTTTTCAAAAGGTTAGTTAGACATAATGACAACAATGATGATGTTCATCTTTTGTTAGAGTAGAAGATAATTCGTAATTACTACTATCACTAATAATAAAAAACATAAAGTTCAAAACCCTACAATATGGAAAATAATTTATTAATCGTTATTAAGATAATAACAGTATCCGACGTATTTCATCTATTATTTAGTAGATTTTTACTAGACTTTGTATTATAAAAGTCTGTAAAGATTGGCGATCAAAGAATTCAATTAATGTTTTATTGAAAAGGTACAAAAACCTTTTACAGCGTTTTGTAAAATCATGATTGATTAAAAAGTATTATTATCTTATTTATTAATTTACTAATTTTAAATTAATTAATTAAATTAATTATCTTTTTATCATTGATGATTATAATTAATACAATAACTATTTTGATCAATAGTAGCGACATTACTATTATCTTTGGAATGCAATTATTAATTGATTTTTGATTAGTATTAGTAGAATTAGCAGTGATAGCCATTTCCATTTTAGCAGCTGCTTTTTTGAATATTTCTAACATTTGTTTTTTCCTTTTCTTTTTCATCATCACTATTTTGTGTTAGATCGATAAAAATTGATTTATTTTTCTCGCCTTCGCCATCACTTGAATCTATGACAAAAAAGTTTTTTTCCTTTTTTCTTTTTTTATTCCGGGAATGTTTATTAAACGTGACATCATCAGGTTCATCAATCTCGTGAAGTTTGCAAGTTTTTTTAGATTCTGTCCAATTACCATTTGAATCAATTACAATTGTTGTTCCTTGGTCTTTAGTAGTTTTGGCTAGAATTTCATTAAAATAGCTAATAAATATAATAACGGATTATTATTAATATTTACATATTTTATGATTTTATAATTTATTGATTGATTGATTACCCATCGACCACGATATCCTCCCAAGAACTTAATAATTTGTTGCAAACTGGACATTTCCATGTAGGGAGTTGCTCATTCATTTTAAAAAACAAGTTGGCATCAAAACATTGTATATGGTTACAATGGATTGACCTACAAGGCGTGCTTATTCTACATTGTCCTAACTGATAATGATAAAGAAAAAGAGATTCAATGTTAATTTTATTTTTTTATTTTTTTATGGATATAAATTAATAATTATTGATAATTCTACCGGATCTTTTAATGATATAATACTTGAGGTTGCAACTACATCAGGATCTTGAATTTGTTTTTTAACTTTTTCAATAGTTGAATAAATAAAATAATTAGTATCAACATTGGTGGTGGTGAACAAAAAAACACATTTATATTATTAAAACAAACAATCAAAAACTTTTAATATTACTTTTCTCTAAAACAGCATCCTTTTCAATAAATTTTCCATTTTTAATTTCATCAACAATTTCTTCAACTGAAATGTTTTTAATTAGGAATATAACTATCAAATATTTCTAATAAATGATAATAATAATAATAATATAACATCATAAATACAATTAACACCACCATAATTGACAATATAAATTTATTATTGGAAAAACTCACCTTTGAAGTAGTTATAAATCTAAATTGTATTTGATTTACATGTGAAGAAGTTATTTTGCATAAATCTGTGATATCTCGAGGAGATTGTTTGCTCTTTTTCTGATTTTAAATACAACAATAATAAATTGACGATCGATTAATATAACGAATGATTAATGAAATAAAAATTACTTGATACTTACGTAAGGCAACATTTTATTGTTGACTCTAACTTTACAAGAATCAGGGAATTCAATTGATGATTCTTTTTGTAAATTTTGTTCAGCATAGCAACAAAATAAGTTTATCTTATAATTGGAACTAGTGCATAAATAAATGAATAATCATATGATTAGTTAATTATATGATTAGTAAGTGATGATTATGATTATTTACCTTGACTTTAATTTTCCAATTTGATTAGAATCAAGAACAAAATCCAAATTAACAATTTCATTGACTACATTTATGATATATTGGAAACAAACATCAATAATGATGATAATAATGATGATGATGATAATAATAATAATAATAATAATAATAATAATAATAATAATAGTGTTTATTTAAAGATTTACCAGAACATATTTTGGTCAGTGATAATCTTTCAACAACATTATAAAATGGAGATGATTTAAATCTTAAATCATTATTTGAACACATTTCTAGCAAAGTAACAATTATTGATTGATTGATTGATTGATTGATTGATTGATTAACTGATCAATAATTAAATAAATTACTAACTAATTAATTTAAGGTTAGATTTCTTTCTTCAAGAAGAATAAAAATCTGAATTATTTATTCTAAAAAAAACCTTTAATAATAACGATAGTATCGTGGAAACCATTTTTCAGATAGAACAATGTAGAGTGTTTTTGATCTGCCTGATTTTCTATAACTTGTTACAATTTTGATATTTTGCGCTTAAATGTGAAATTTAACATTTTTGATATAATAAGTTAATTCGTTCTTTGTCAACTTTGGTTTCTTTTCTATACTATAAATAATTATACTATATTGTTGATTGATTATAATAAATAATAAATGCAAAGCGCAAAATAAATAATTCTACTTTAAAAGGGTTTTCCAGAACAAATTTAATTTGAAATTTAACAATTAAATGACGTGTGATATTTCATTTTCAAAATATCATCATAATTCAACCAACATCATATTTTTTTATTAATGTATTTTTTATTTTTTACTAATAAGTTTTACTAGAAATTTTTTATGAAAAATATCCATGATTACAAAAAATAATGTTTTTAACAATTTCTTTTACCATTTGAAATGTCAAACGAAACATTTAAATACATTCAAGTTGACAATAAATCATTATAAAAAATGGCATAATACCAATACTCTAACTCTATGAAAATATCCATTTTATTCTGTAAAAAGCATCAAAATAATTAATCGATAAAGATTTCTTGAAGGAATTAAATTATTGGAGAAACCATCATTATATGATTCATTCATTGCTAAATTAGATTTTCTCGACCTTAGAAATGTTTTAGAAAGGTTAGACTGGTGTATTTCTACGAGTCCGTTAACCTTTAATTGGAAATTTATTTTAGATCGTTCAATGCCCAAGGATAATTCTTTCTTAATTGATCTCGCGTAGTGGTTGTATCCGTTGATTATCCGGGTGTTTGAGTACTTGGTCAATCAATAATAATAAAGCTCAACACCCGGATAATCGGTCATTCACTGAATATCCGACGAATATCCATTGATTTATAATAATTATTTATCAGGCAGGTCCTATGTAATCACTGGCAGAAATAAACAAACTCAACTTTATTGTATTATAATCATGTGATTGCAATCAGTTTATCATTTATTTTTTAATGTTTACATAATAATAATAAGTTACATAATAATAAGAATATATAATACGTTGGACCTATCCGATAACAAAAACTTATTCGTCAGGAAAAAACATTTTCAATACATTGCATATTTTTTTTTTAAGAAATTAAGAAATACAAATAATAACGTATTCAATTTTATTCGTTCACTAAATACAGTCAAACCTTGTCACAGCGGATGAATTTAAAACCCGTTGTGGCAAGATTTACTGATCTTACCACAATGGATTTTTCATGTTTTTATATTTTAATGTGAATGTGAAGCAAAAATTTTAAAAATCCGTTATGACAAGAATTTAATTATAGTCCGCTGTGACAAGGTTTGGCTGTAGACGCTCATTTGGAGTAAAAGTTACTGCACTGCATAAATATTCTTTAGATAATATTGACACAGTTGGTATTTATAATAGAAAGAATGTTGGTGATAGTGTTAATAATGTATTATATAGTATTCTTTCAATTATGTGGATAAAAATTTTTATTTTTTATATTTCTGTGCCACCGATTATTCATCAACACCTGATTAACCGGATTAATCGGTGAATATCCATTCGGTGGATACTAATACAACCATTTATCCCGCGCTTACTGTGCGATGATATTTTTCAATTTGTGCTCTTGCATCTTTAATTGAGTTTTACGTTTGGGTGGATAAAGGCATTTTAACACTATTTTAAGTTTGGAAAAAAACAAAAATCTAAAAATTTAACAAAGAAAGTTGACAGGTGAACGTGAAAAGATTAAGAACACGTGATATTTTTATTTACTGTTTCCGGTTAGATTCGATTTATTTTAGTATTAGTTGAAATCAATTATTATTATTATTACAAATTTGGTTCTTGTAAATTTTACATTTCTTTGTTATTATTAGAAATCGTATAAACAAACAGTATGTGTATGTTAACAAGTAAACCTCATAGCGTTAATTCATGGGTGAGCTTTTGATTATTTATTAACAAACAGCCCATAAATTTGCATATTATGGAGAAATCCTTAATGGTTTGGTTTTTTTAAATATATATTTAGGATTTTTTGAAAGAGGATGATTATTTTTATGAAATGTAAGCGTTTTTTGCTCAAAATGAAAAAAACTAAATAAATATTAAAGAAATCTTTAAATTTTTAGAACGTTAGATGCATTGATTCCTTTAATGTATTGCGTTAGCTCGGTTTCTTTCCTGATAATAATTTACATCAAAAACATCAATAAAAACAATCAAGTTTATCAACCTTTATTAAATAATCAACGACAGGATTCAGCTTATGGTTCTTTCCAAAGAGGACCTGAAACTCTTGGCGAGAATTTAGGAGGCCAAGGTCAAGAAGAAGATGATATTGTTGAAAATGTAGAAGAGGACGAATACGATCATAATTCAGATGCAACATTAGTATCGTCAGATGAGCTTATTGGTCCAACTAAAAAAACAAAAAAATTTGATATTGTTAGATTGCTTCTTAGTTCAATAATGTTGACAATATTTTGTTTAATGTCGTTTGTCAGATGGTTAAATCGTGATAAAGAACAAAATGGAATTTACCTCATCATGACTCCTTTAATCGAAATACTAATTTGGGTAATTATTAACTAATTAACCAATTAATTAACATTACTATATTTTTATATTATATTAATATTTTACCTATTTATTGTTTAAATAAAAGACATATGCAACATTTCTGGCTTTTGTTAATCTTGTTTCACCAAAAAGAAATTTGTATCATATACGAGGACATTTAAACATTCTATATTGCATTACTTTTGTCGTCTCAATTATCAAACTTTATTCGTTTTACTTAAAATTCGATTCGCTTATCTCGGAACATGGTTTTGGCTTTGCTATTTTCCTTATCTCTTTTATCTTGGTCACAAATTCTATATTTGAACCTCATATTGATTCTGACGAGTTATTTACAAAACCTAATTCAATGGTAACTTATTGCTTTATTGACAGAATCGAGAAAATTGATTGATTGATTGATTGATTGATTGATTAATTACTTTATTATCATCAAACTACTCAGGGTCGTTACTTATCACCGGAATTAAGTGCCTCTTTATACGATCAAATTACCTTCTCTTGGGTTAATCCCTTGATGAGCAAAGGTTTTAGAAAAACTCTTGATGAATCTGACATTTACGAATTACCAAAATTTAACAGGGCTAGAAATATATTAAAAAAATTTCATTCATCACGAAAAAGTTCTTTTGTTCTTTCCTTGTTTAGTACTTTCAAGAAGGAGCTCTGTATTCAATCTGCATACTCTCTCGTCTGGATAACTATAAGTAGCTTTGGTCCACCTTATTTCCTAAAAGAAATATTAATTTATGTAGAAAATTATCCGATTAAACAGGAAGATTCTTGGTCAACTGCTTACTACTATGTGTTTGGTTTATTATTGTCTACGATAGTGCCAAGTTTATGTTTTCAACAATCTTTATATATTGGTCGTCAAATATGTATAAAGATTCAGGTAATTTCATATTCTTTCGTGTTTCTTCAATAAATATTTTTATTTTTATTTTTATTTTTACTTATCATTTATCATTTTTCAGGCAATAATTGTTGGTGAAGTATACGCAAAATCTCTCTCTAGAAAGGATACCAGCGGTGCTACAAATGACGAAAATTCAAAAAATAAAACTGGAAATATTACAAATCTCATGGCTGTCGATGCTCAAAAAGTCTCTGAAATTTCTTCCTATTTTTTTTACCGTAAGATTTATATACTATTTCAAATTAAATATTATTTTATCTTTTATTTATTTATATTAATTTATGCATTATTTTATATAGTATATTGCCTTCCTATACAAATGTTTATTTTGCTTTATTTGTTATTTGATTTGCTTGGTGTGTCTGCTTTGGTTGGTGTAGTAGCAATGTTACTTACCTATCCTGTTCCTACATATATAAATCAACGTTTTGAAAAATTTCAAAAACGTCTTATGGCTGCAACAGACAAAAGATTGGGCGTCATAAATGAGGTAAAGGTTATTTATTTATGCAATTGATTATATTTATTTATTTAATATTTATATAATATATATATTTTTTGACAGCTTCTTCAAGCAATAAGAATTATCAAATTTTTTGCTTGGGAGTCTCAGTTTCGTGGTAAAGTAATGGAGGCTCGTGAACTGGAACTTATAGAAATTCGTAATCGATTGGTGCAATGGATCTATCTGGGTTGTCTTTGGACTGCACTACCATTGTTGATTATGTTATCTGTGTTTTTAACCTATACCAAAATACTTGGATATGATTTATCTGCTCCAGTCGCCTTTACTGCACTTGCTCTCTTTAACAAGCTTCGTCATGCTTTAGATGAAATACCATCAACTATAATAGCCTTCATTCAGGCTCGTGTCTCTATATCTCGTGTTGAGAAATTTTTGGCTGAGCCGGAAATTAGTAATAATAACAATAAATTAAATCAACAATCATTATTTGATGAAAATAGTCGATGTTTAATTGGTTTCAAGGATGCCACATTTAGATGGCCTGATGGCGGTGACTCAGATACTACTACACTTAACAACCTGCCACCATCGTTAGATTCACCATCAATTAATGACCAATCAAATAAATTCCATTTACGAGATTTAAATGTTAGTTTTCCTGTTAATGAACTATCTATAATTTGTGGTCCAACAGGCTGTGGAAAAACTAGCTTACTGATGGCTTTATTATGTGAAATGGAATGTTTAAGTGGTTATGTTTTCTTACCTAGAAAATCTAATAGTCAATTATCAAAAAATATTGTTGGTGGTGCTCCCAGCGGGGTTGCATATGTTGCTCAAACAGGTAAATGAATCATCAATCTAGAATGAAGTAAATGAAATGAAATAAAAATATTTTTATTAATATATATATAACAAATATTATTATTTTTCTCCAATAAATGAAATAGCTTGGCTTCAAAATGCAACCATACGTGATAACATCCTTTTTGGTCTCCCGTATGAAGAAGTTCGTTATAACAATGTCATTTCTATGTGTGCTTTAATTAAAGATTTAGAAGTTTTTGAATCTGGTGATACTACTGAAATTGGTGAAAAAGGTATTACACTTTCTGGTGGCCAAAAACAACGTATTGCGTTAGCAAGAGCTTTATATTCTCAAGCTGAAATAGTTATCATGGATGATTGTTTATCTGGTATTTTTTTTAAAAAAATATAATTTCATTTTATTTAAATAAATAAAATTTTTCCTTTCTAAAAAGTATCATTACTTTGATTTTTTAATTAATTGTTTTAGCTGTTGATTCACATACCGCAAAATATTTGTACGAGAATTGCATTATGGGTGATTTAATGAAAAATAGAACAAGAATTTTAGTCACGCATCATGTTGGACTTTGTATCCGTAATGCTGCATTTGTTGTAGTAATGAAAGACGGTCAAATCACCGATCAAGGACCTGCCAATCAAATTTTATCTAGTGGAATTTTGGGAGATATTTCTATTGAGGAAGAAAATGAGAAAGGCGGCGATGATGATGAATTAAAAAATAAATCTACTGAAAATGCTAAACCAAAATCAAAATCAGCTAATGGTAGTGACGGCAAATTGGTTTTAGAAGAGAAAAGAGAACAGGGTGCTGTTAAATGGATTGTTTACAAAACTTATTTATCAGCCACTGGTGGTTATTTATTTTGGGTATTTTTATTGTCCATGTTTATACTGGTTCAAGCTTTACAAGTTGGTCAAGGTGAGCATTATATTTGGTAAAATTATTTTAATGTATTTCTTATTAATTATTTTTATTCTTGATTTATTTAGATTGGTGGATTAATAAATGGACTAAAGCATATTCTGAAACTAGCCTTGTGATTTCAAATTTCACTTCACAATTTTCAACTATATTTGATTATCTGATAGCATTATTCCAAGAATCTAATTATTATTCAACAAACATTTTCACGCCATTAGAATACTTTTCAAGTTCATTTTCATTAACCTCTACTATCACAACCACAACCAGTATCATACATGCATCAAAAGAATTTAATTCTGAAACTACAACAAAAGAAAAAGTTGACGTAAATTTTTACATTGGTGTTTACGTGTTAATTGGATTATTTACATCAATATTAGCATCCTTCAGATCCTATTATATGTTTATGGGTTCGTTGTCAGCCTCCAAAAAGTTTCATGCTGCATTAGTGGATCAGATTTTAAAAGCGAAGATAAGATTTTTTGATACAACACCAATAGGTATATATCTTTTTTGATAAATAATATCCTATTTTCCTAATATAATTATTTCAACTTTTACAAATTATTTATTTGTATTATAATTATAATAAAGGTCGTATAATGAATCGATTTTCTAAAGATATGGAGACAATTGATCAAGACCTATCACCTATATTGATGTTCCTTATTCATTCTTGTTTTGCAACTGCCGCTGTCATATTTGCTATATCTCTTGTAATGCCACAATTTTTATTTGCTGGTATTCTCATAGCAATCATATTTATCATTATCAGCGCGTATTATATTGCTACTTCAAGAGATTTAAAACGTAAAGTATCATCATATTGTTAATTTATTTTGATTTCAATTTGATTATTAGTTAGGTTAAGATACAATTTTTTTTTAATGAAAAATAGGTATAGAGTCTGTTACTCGTTCACCAATATATGCAGCATTTGGTGAGGTATGTAGGTCGAAATATTTTTGTTTGTTTTATAAGAATAATTTAAACTTTTAATAACAATCAATACATTTTTTAGACAATAAATGGTGTTACAACTATAAGAGCATTCGGAGCACAGTATAGATTAATGAACAAAACATTTACACTTGTGGATAATAATAATACTCCATATTTATATAATTGGGCTTGTATCAGGTAATAATAATATAAATAGCAAAACTTTTTGACCCCTGTTGAGTATCCAGCCTCCTTTTCCTATGCTCGATTATAAAAATAGTAGCTCATTATTTATTGTTGTTGTTAGATGGCTTCATACACGTGTTGATCTTGCAGGAAGTCTTGTATGCTTTTCAACTGGACTTATTATTTTGTATAGATTACCGAAGGGCATGAGTCCAGGATTAGCAGGATTTGCACTTCTTTATGCATTAAATTTTACTGAAAGTGTCATATGGGTTATTCGAATGTATGCTATGCAAGAAATAAATATGAATTCAGGTAATTATGTATAATGTGTGTGTGTGTATGTATAATTTTTTTTTATAATCATTGTTTTTTTAATAACATTGGGGGATTTTTTTTTGATAGTTGAAAGAGTTCAAGAATATTTGAAATTAGAAGAAGAAGCACCTAGAATTATTGAAATTAATCGTCCACCAGTAGGATGGCCAATGCGTGGTGAAATCCATGTAAATAATCTTGTCATGCAATATTCACCGGATAGCCCACTTGTTTTGAAAGGTATATCATTTCATGTAAAACCAACCGAAAAAATTGGAATTGTTGGTAGAACAGGTAAAAAATTATCATTATTATTATCGTCATTATTGTTACCACATATACTTTTTTTCAATATCCAAAATAATAAAAAAAACTTTTTTTGAATTTATAGGTTCAGGAAAATCAACATTAGCTATTTCATTTTTTAGATTTATGGAATTTGTTTCTGGTCAAATTATAATTGATGGAGTTGATATTTCAACAATGGGTCTTTTTGATTTACGAAGTAATGGGTTTTTTTTTGAAAAAAAATATATTCATTAGAAAAAAAATTAATAATAATATTAAAAAAATTTTTTTTTTCAATATAGAAAATTTAACAATAATACCACAAGATCCTGTATTATTTAGTGGTACCTTAAGGTAAATAATCCAATTTCCTATTATCATCTCTTATTTATTCATTATATATATATATATATATCAATTCACTTTACTATTCATTATATATAGGAGTAATCTTGATCCATTTGGAGAACACGACGATTTATCATTAATGAACGCGCTTCGACGTGCACATTTTATTGATAGCGAATCCACAATAACATCATTGCCGACAACATCGTCACCAAATAATAATAATATAGAAATTATTGAAGATGATGGGGATAATAGTAAAGATACTGATGCGTTGTTAATAGATAATAATACTCAAGTTCAAAGTCCAACAACTCAAAGCTCAAATCAAGTTACTTGGAGTTTAGATTCACTTGTAAGTGAAAATGGTGGTAATTTTTCACAAGGTCAACGACAATTGATTGCACTCGCAAGAGCTTTAGTTCGTAGCTCAAAACTAATAATTATGGATGAAGCAACCGCTAGTGTTGATTTCAAGACAGATCATATGATTCAAGAAACTATACGACAAGAATTTAAAGAGTCTACGTTGTTATGTATTGCACATAGAATAAGAACTGTCGCAGATTATGATAGAATCTTGGTTTTAGGTATGTAAAAATAAAAAAATAAATTGAATGAATTCATGTGTATGCGAGAATGTTAATATTAAAAATATATTTTTTTTTTTTAACTAACTGAAAAAGATGAAGGAAGATTAGTAGAATTTGATCATCCATATACTTTAATGCAATCTAATGATTCATTATTTAGAACGATGTGTGAAAGAAGTGGTGAATTTGCAGAGTTATTAGATATAGCCAAGGCAAAATATGAAAAGGATTTAATATAATTAGAAAACATAAATTAGGTCTTTTTTAAAGTTTAAATATATTTTAATATTTTTGTTTTAAATAATAACATCTTGCAATATATATATATATATAAATATATTTCATAAAATATATACAATTCATAAAAAATAATCATGCGCTTTTCACTATCTAGTCAAGCCCAAACCAATGTTTATACCTGTGTTGGTATATTTTTTTCATCGTCGGTTAAACAGTGAATATCTATTTTTTTTTTAGAATAATACAAATGATCCAAGTTTCAGAATCTAACAAAACCTATAAAACCTATAACATATGTTGTTTGTTTAATTATTAGTTTTAATTTTCTTTACTCTATCAGCATCTGAGATGATGTTTCATCTGAAAGATTAAAAGAAAAATCAAAGAAAATACCATTATTGTTGTTGTTGTTGTTGTTGTTATCATTATTATTATTATTATTATTATCATCTTTATCAACTTTATTGTTGTTGATGTTGTTATTTAAAGATTTAATCTTTCTTCTTATTTTTATATTGTTTATATTCTTTGAACGGTAATGATTAAACCGTCCATTTCTATTATTCCTAATGTTTAAATCCTTATTATTCCTATTCCCGTTCTTATTATTTCTATTCATTACCCTATTATTCCTGTTATCATTATAATTATTATAATAATGATCATTGTCATCTTCACTACTAGTATCATCATATTCATCACCATTATTTTGTGATTTTAATGATTTTACACTAGTGACCATTTTAGATGGTTCCGCAAATGCAGCAGCTGCAATGAGTGACGAAATGGAATTGTGTTGTGGTATTGGTTGCTGATTTGGCATTATTGAAGACGACGAAAAAGAACAGGCTATGGTAGGAGAGGAATACTCTGTTTTATTTATAGTGTTATTTTTATTATTGTTATTGTTGTTAATTGGTTGATATTTGAATAATTCTGTTAATGCTTCAGCTGCTATCAATTCATCATAGGATAACTCAACCAAACGTTCATCCTCATCAACCATATTATCATCTTTATCATTATCATTAGATCTTTTTGTTGAAACAATAAAATTTTAATTTATTAACAAATTAAAAATAAAATAAATAAAATAATTACAGTTCTAATAAAATTTACATTGATAATAACAAATCCGAAGAAATGGTTGTTAACACTGGATCACTGTTGCTAATTGAATTCGTCATTGGAAGAAATTCCTTATTTTTTTGTTTTTTTAGGGTGGAATTGATGGGCAAAACCAGTTGATGCGAAACATAGTGGAAATTTGAAATGTTACACTCATTTTTTATATTGTGCTACAATACACGGCAAACATTCTGGCAATAAAAAAAAGTAAGTGATAAACTGGATTTGAATTGGATTCTGAACTTGACCTTCAATTTAGAGAGGTAACAAACTATATCTCAACCTAGTATGTTAATGAATTGAAAATATTTTTTTTTAACTAAAAAATTTGATCATTTGTTGAATTGTAAATTTTTTCAAAATAACTTCTCAAATGAGGAAGGCCACTGGTTACTGACACAGAAACTTCAATCGAAAGAGAACTTGACAACGAGGATGAAGGTTTTATTAACAAGTCATCTAATGAAATAAATAATGTACAAAATTTCTTTACTGTTGCAAATAAAAAAAGACGCTCTGGTAAGAATTTTAATGTAATTATTCATTAATAAAAAAATAAAAAAAAGAAAAAGATATTAATAATACAAAATAGTTTTAATGCTGTTACCAGAGAATGGTTTTATTTTATTTATCACATTAATACTTGAGGCTCCAAACAAACCAATGAAATTTGAACCACCTAATACTAATTTTTGATTCATTTCGCTCGATTCAATTCAAACCTGACTCGAATCTATAAATAGCTTGATTTGAGTTGGTTCGAATCTAATTCAAATAAATATATACCATATGAAATAATTTGAATTTTAAAAGAGTTGCAAAAAATTTTTTTAACGACGTAATATTGATATGCAAATCAAAAAATTTTTTACCATTCACAATGTGCAACTCTCCCCCCGTTTTATATACCATAAATGATATTCGTTTGGTGCGACTTGGTATCGTACAAAAAATTACCCAGAAAAACTATATAACACAAATCGTCTATTTCACGTGATATATTATTCACATGACTAAGTTTCGATTTTTGATTGGGTAATTAGTTTTTCGTTACACATTATGAAAATAAAAATCTAAGCTCATTGCACACGTTATAGTGGGCTTTTTTTATAATACTTTTATAATTAATTGTCACTCGTTATAATGGGGGGAAAAAAAATTTTACATATGAAACTGACAAGCTTTGACTATTTAATAATAGTAGACGATTATAGCATAGAAACGGCTGAAATGATTAATTGACGATCCGTCTATGAATCAGAGAAATGTCGGGGGAAATTTAATATATATGAAATTTTTTTTAAAAAAAATTCACAAATGTCACAGTAAATTTTTTACGTAAAAACTTTTATTTTTTTTATACATTATTGTTATTCGCACCCCTCCCGTGACTAAGACAAAGATGAACCAATAAAATCATCACATTTTAAAGGCATTCATTGGTCACATTACTACACTTAGTCACGGGAGGGGTGCGAATAACAATTCCCTTTTTATATTGCAAACATATTTACACGAAATTAACTTATGATTTAGAACACTCTAATATTAATCATGAATGAAACTGAGCTTTCAAGTGATTCTGAAAACGAAGCGAATTTATACCAACCACCACGTTTTTAGAGAACATTCCTAAAGATAGTAATGTTACTGAGGAGAATTAAAAGCAAGGTGTCGAGGTCAATATAAAATTGGATTCTAGTATGCATTTCGTAACTTAAAAGGTTAGCATATTAAACAATGGGCACAACTACAAAAGTTTAAGAAAATTTTGAAAATGACATTCGAAAACAAACACTTGTTTGAAGATATCAATAAAAAAAGAAGCGGAGTCAACGCATCTAAATCACAAAGAACAAATTGCAATTGACATTTAAATCTTTCACGTCCTATCAAAAATAATCCAAATGATCTAATCCAGATGTAAAAACTAAATTTAACGAAGAGGTCATCAATGTTTTTAGATAGTAACAACATAACTTCTTTTTAAATGTGTCATATATTGAACATTTGTATTCTAATACGGACAATAATCAATTCATAAACTATGTGAACAAGCTAGTCATATAACATGTAAATCTTATATTGAAGAAATAAATATATTGAAACAAAAAACGTTCAAGTATTGAAATCGGGAAAACATAGTTCAATTGATAACAATGATAGAGAAGAAGCGTCTAAAATTGATAAAGAAAATATAAACCCAATTGGAAAAAAAACTCTTATAATCAGTATTAATTTTGTTCCTATTCTCAGAACACCAAAGGAACAATTACAAGATGCGAAATATTGACCATAATCGTGCTACTTGTCCTCTTAATAAAACAAATGAGGTGGGATGAATTAGTATATAATTTAATATAAGATTTATTTTGTCAGTGATTTTTATCCTGCCTACGTTTTTGTGCAGGTACGCAGAAACAAAGACCCTTGATTTTTTTTTTACGGATTAAAATAATTCTTTACTTGATTAAAATATTTTGTTTTAAAAGAAAACATTATCTATATACAAGTATAATTTAACATCACTAGCAATAGCCATGTCCAAATGTTTCAACAGAAATCCTGTAGATTGGAGCATTCTTGATTTTTTAAACGAGTACGATCTAGAACCGTTTGACCTAAATATAAAAGTTCCTTGAAGCAATCGTTAAAAATAAGCAAGACGAGATGATCTGAAAGAACACAATTGCGTGTTGGTGCACAGGTGACCTATATATTAGGTATTGATTGGCTAATTTTGGTGCGTCGAACAAACAAGTGATTGAGTCGTGTGATTTTATAATATTGATCGATGAGTGTAGCTCAAATGTTAATTCAAACTCGGCCATACATTTTTGGAACCATTTAATAACATTTTTCTCAAATTTATTTTAGGATCAGGATTGATTATTATATTTGGTCAATAATTATGACATTACGACATATTAACAAGCTTATAACTGAGAACGCAATGTGAGCTTTTGCTTTTCGTGTTACAAAACACGCATACCGTGCTACGCGAGAATAAAAATTCA